AAGAATGTTTATTTTGCCTGCTTTTTCATAAAAATTTTAAGGTACTTTGATCTAAGCATTCCCCTATACAAAATAGAGGAGATTCTAATGTTTCTAAAAAAAAGCATAAAAACTGCTGGAAGTGTTGCGTTAAAAAAAAAAGGGCCCATTGCTTATGTAAGAGTTGATTTTTAGTTTACTCTCTGAATTAATATTAGAAAATCTATGCAAAAATTGCAACAACTTTGGCACTAACAATATTTACAGCGCTTTTCGAAATCTGTCGAATAAAGGAAAGGCTATTTTGAGAAATTTTAAATGGGGTTCTTCGCATCTCGAAACATTTCATAAGCTATTTTTCAGGAAAGAAAAGAAGGCGCAAACTGAAGATAATGAGTTTCTAATGGATCAGAGAAACTTGGGGGGGGGGGTAAATGGTGATTGACAGCGCAGACAGGCAAAGTACAAGGCAATTACACGAAAGACTTACCGGAAAAGTGACAAACAAGAACACAGAAAGAAAATTTAATTAAAATTGTGTTTTATTATTGAGCTCATTTAGTTTTTAACATCTGCCCATTCTTTAAATTTTATTTACCATGTTAAGTCAGAAAATATTTTACTGACTTGAGTCAGGAATTATTATTATTATTGAGGAAGTTGAACTTTTATTTTACGAATCTGCAAAAATAATCTTAAAGATATGTCCGGAAATATTTACTAGCAGATTTATCATTTCAGAACTGTTGTGTATATGCTGTAATCTAATACACGTCACGTACCTAAGAGAAAACAAAAACTTAAACGCAGCCTAGAGGTTTACGCCAGTAAATTGATAAAATATAATTATAATAACATAATAAAATATATAACAGATAAAGAATTAAAAATATTGAAAGGCATTGCAATCTATAATAAGCATGGATCTCCCATTATATGTTAACACCTGTTGCAAGTAAAGTGGACTATATAATTTTATGTAAATAATTCTTTTACTATGAATCTTACAGACGGGACAAAATCTGAGTATTAATATAACATAAGTTAACAATGTCTATGAAACCTCCAAAAACATTCATAAAATAAGAATGTTTAAATATGCTTGTAATTATCCTAAGTTTTACAAACGTTTATTTTATTTTAAAACTGTACTATCACTTTTTTTTCTACTTCCGGCCAGAATTAAATGCTTTAACTTGTTTATGTAAATTGTCTTGCTAACGCCCAAATATTTAAGTTGTAGTTTTTTGCTACGAGGGAGAGAGAAGGAGTGTTAGGAAGCAAGCCGCTTGCCACTGCAGTTTTACGAGTTTTCACTCGGTTGCTGGTTGCCTTTAAGGCCAGAGGTTTAGCCCTCTTGATATTTGAGAACCTATTGAAGTTTCAGCAGCTCGGCGTACTAAATACGTACGCTTTTAAATAAAGGCCAGTCTTAGTGCTAGGCATTTGTATACTAATTCAAAGTTAGCTTTTAGTTAGAGTTTTAGTTAGTAGTTAGTAATTTTTAGTTAGTAGTAAACTTCAATTTAATCTCAGGAAGCTCATTTCGGTTATAGAAGGGGATACATAAATATTATATGGCACTATTACTTAAGATTTACTTTCTGAAAAAGAGCAAATTAAATATTGGTTAATGACGGCGTCTTTTACCGAAGTTTTTGAGTAAATCAATTTAATGATAGATAGGAAACTCTCAAAGGTAATTCTGGTAATTCTTGGATTAAACTAGAAAATTGTGGTTCAAAGAAGGCGACTAGATAGTTCACAACTCTGGCGAGTTTTTGACCCACTTGAAACAGAACAGTCTATTAAATATATCACTATTTTCTATAGTGTTAACTTTTCTGCAGTTTCTCGTCGTGGAAGCAGTTTCGAGCGAGTGAAGAATACCTGATTCACTCTGATGATAAGTATACGACTGTATTAGTTAATGGTAATCTACACATGAATTGCATATGAAAGGGGTACATGTAGCAGTCTCTTTAAGTATTGTTGCGCGCCGTACGGGTTCGTAATAATTTGAATGAGCAAGTCCCATGAAAAGTGAATAAAATTTAGTTTTATCACAACGAATAAAAACAAAATGCTTAAATTTCCTTAGAGATATTCGTACACTATCGCAATATCTCCCAGTAGTTATCTTTTAAACTACTAAAACGTTCAACAAAACTTAATTCAAAACAGAGAAAGTTAATACGATTTCACCGCGAATTCGCTGCAGTGAACAACAACAGTTATCCAAACAACAACTGAATTGAGATGTTTTCCTCCAGCTTTCTAAATGCATGAAAGTATTCTGGTATTTTCTCGATTTTTCTGGAAAGCAAAAGCGTACAATTACGAGATATCTATTTATTAAATGCGCGTGATTCTGTATTTTTAATTTTTTGACGTAGCTTTTCTCTTCAAATAAGTCTCGTGCTGCATTGTACTAGGATATAAAACAATTTTAATTAATTTTCCTAAAAATAGCTAAATAAATACAAAATCCTTAACAGTATCAATATACAGCTCTGGATACTGCACAGGAAAACAAGACAATCCAAACCTTCTCTTTAGATTTGGTTAGTAAGAGACCTGCTAAATCAACCCTAGATACTTAGAAAACAGCTGATATTCTAGCTTGGCCTTTCGGAAGGAGCGGAAAAGTACCTCAAGATTTTTAACTCTTTGTTTCGTACAGGTAGTGCGTTCGCTGATCACACTGCGAACGGTTCTTTTCCCTTTTAAAATCCAAATTGTTTCAGGCAGAATGTTTAAGAGAATGGATGTCCCAGCATGTTTGTTCGCATTATGTTCTTCGTCAATATATCTTCTGCCATATGCTTGAAAGGCAGAATTAATGAAGAAATAAAATTTTGTGTTTCATCTTAATCTGGACTTAAATCGTTAAGTTCCTTTCTTTTTGCACAGAATGGAAAAATACCTTTGTGCATTCAACAGTTCTTGTAAAATCGGTGTATTTTCTTAGATCTTTAGACTTTGTTGAAAATATAACATCCAAGCTAAAACTGGGATCATCTTTGAGAATTTAGAGAACTTCCTTGCTAACTGTAATGCAATGGACTCGACGTCTGAGTTAATAGCAGATACCAGCAGTGCGTAGTTTTTCCATTTCCACTTCCTTCTTATCGATATTCACTATTAACTTAGGCCGCTGCTCTTTCGAATTCTTCAAACAAGGTGCTCCTTGCCTTCACATAGATTTCTGAAGTCGTGTCGTTCGCATCCACATCCTCTCGACAGAAGAAGGCCAGCTGTTTTCTGATTACCTGAAATAGGGTACCAATTTGCAGGAGCTGTGAGTTTTCCGATTTCATTCACACGGTTGTTAACAAATACTGACCACAGTTCTTGCCGTGTAATCCATGTAAGAACTGTCGAGGAATCGGTCCAAAAGAAGATTTCATATTCGTCAAATTTTAGAGCATTTCTCATGCATTCGAACAATCTAGCTCCGATTGTAGCTGCCATTAGCTCTAGTAGTGGTATTATAATTTTTCAGTGGCGTTATCCGTGACTTAGTCTGAAGTAACTGAATTTTCACTAGGCCATCAGGGGCTTCATTTTTTAAAAAGATGCAGACTGAAAAGGCTGTCTGAGTTGCATCTATGCATGCTCAACTGGAGCTCCATAGTGATACCTAACCCTCTTGAAACCTTTATATTTTTCAAATGGTGCAGTTACTTGAACCACTTCAGAAATTTCCTTTTAATTTCTTCGTTTACTTCATCATCTCCATATTCTTTCGTTTTCCGTATAGCTTGATGTAAAAGCTTAGCTTGTATCATAACAGGTGAAAAAAAGCCTATAAGGTCATATATACGAAGAAAGTGAAAGAATTTTTCTTTTGGTTATTTTTTCTGTTTTGTTAAATTTTAAGGTTTCAGTATCGATTTCTAATGTATCTGAATATTTGTTCCAAATAAAGCACAATACATGTGACTTGTAGAAGAAAAAAAAAGTAGGAATAGCAATGCTTTTCCATCCTCTAAAATCAAACATTCATTCTTTCGTTATGTTTGTAGAGGATTCAGTAAACGTATTTAACTCTGAAACTATATTTATACTTGTCACGCAATTATCAACATAAAAATTATCTCGTAGTGTTTCAGTACTTCTTTCAAAATCTTGTTCTTTCCATGATTCTGTGGGCAAATAGTGACCGATAACCGCCATCAGCAAAAATGGACTACCAAATACCACACGGGCGTGACGAAATGTCTTTATTCTACAATCATCATCATAACCAAAAAATCTCGATCTCTTTCATTCAGAGATATCTGAAGAAAAGCTCTTCTAATGCCTAAAATCACACTAATTTCATATAAGGCGAAAACTTGCTAGAATAGAAGGAGTATTTTCAATCAAACTAGTTCCAGTCCCTAAGCAATCATTTAGAGATGGCTGATTAGGAAGCATTCCTGAAGCATCGAAAACTGTCTGATTTTTATGGAAGATACTGAACTGAGAATGTTTCTTTAATAACTGGATGATGTGAGAGGTAATGAATAACGGTAATGACAATTTTTCTTGTGGAACTTCTTCAATCATTCCTTCCTATAGCCATTCGTTAAAGACTTAATGATAATTTTCATGATACCCATTTGTTCCAACGTCTTCGTAGTAGATTCGAGTCTTTTCAAAGATAAGTCATAATTGTCAGGTAAGATGGCATGCTCGATATTCCAAGGCATATTAACCTCGTATCTAACATTTTATATTTGACGAACTGTTTCTTGAAAATGAACCATAACTCTTCTCGACTTTTGTTCAACAGGATCTCGGACACCTAATAATTCGAAGTCCCACAACGATGAAATAGGCAGATCTTCTTGAGATAACATAGAAACTACAGCCATATCAACATTGTGCTGATGTTCGGACTGAGCTACTTTTTCTATCAAGACCCAACCCAAATTTGTTTCTATAACCCCTGTTCTTAGTTCCTCTCGTTTGTCAGTAAATAAGTTCCTAGCAACGTCTGCCCCTAACATTTCTTCAATAGGACCAGCATTCTCTTAGGTATCAGTTAAACGTATTTCTTCATTTCCTAATTCATGAATCCAAGAACCATATATTATGCTTGGAATATCATTACAAATAACATCATGATCTACAGCATCTAATTTACAGGAATAATTATCATCAAGCCTACTGAAACAAATCTTGTAACATTTATGGTTATAAATTTTAAGTTCCACCAAATAAGAGTGTCTAAATTCTTCCTCCTATTGTAAGCTTACCTCATCAATCATTAATCTAAGTTTACACGCTTTTTATTCTTACCCTGTAAGTTTAAAACCAGAGTCTGAAGGAAAACTTCATTCACAGAATGTGAATGTTAATAATCGATTGTTTCCTCTTTTTTTTCTCATCATTTTCCTGCTTATGCATTTCGATAGATTTATTACATTCAAGACTAAGACAAAACAATTTCAAATGTCTTTTTGAACATGTCTGACATTTAACATATGATCGACACTGATTACTGAGGTGACCTTTTTAACATGCATATTATGCATAAACGTTTTTTTAACCACAGACATTTTTTTACCTGACGGAATATAAAACGCTTTTTTACAATTACGCTTTCCATGATGTTTTATACAAAACGAACAAGAAGGTATTGCTTCATAATTTATCAAATCCGACTTCGAAGGAATATTTTTTGCTAGTTGTAAAGTGCCTGCTATCAAATCGAGAATAAATATCCCCTCTACTTAAGTTTATTTTTTCTTCTGACTGCATTTCGTTTTTCAGAAATTAAATTATTGCATCAAGACTCGAAATGTTTTATTTAGATTCAGTAATTTTTCAAATGATCGCAATACATGAATAGGAATAGCCCTTTCCACAAGACAATATAATAACTCTCGAACATAAAAATCAGTTAAAAGTTCTTTAAGGCAATACCTCTCAGTGAGGCTTTTTATAGCCAAAGAATAATTTTCGTTCCTACCAAAAAAGATAATCTTAATGCTTATTAGCTTATTTATGAGCTATAATCTAAATGATTATTAAGGCATAAACATAATTAGCGCTAACAAATATCTATGTAAATCTTCACACATCCTATTCGACTGTTTTTTCTTACTTAAATATTTTCAAAATTCCTAGAGAAGGTGGTATACATTATACAGACTTTTAGCCTTCCCGAGTAAAGAGATATAAGAAAACAACTGCGCCTTTGCTAGGATTCGAATCACGAGCTGGACATGTTTCAACAGCTAGCACTGTAAAAGGCTATAATTTCTTACTTTCTTTCTCCCTTAACTGAGAAAAGCACGGGATCTGGTCTCCTAAACGTTGGGGGGGGGGGAAGTGTTTCATACACCATTTCTAGTTCTGGATGCCTATGTAGAGATTTATTAAAGTTTTGTGCGAGAAATCAACTGTGCCCTCTCCTGGATTCGGATTCGGATACAGATTTTCCACTTACTTGCTGGACGGGCTTAATCACTAATGCCACAAAATTAAGTACAGAGAGGGGGATGCAATAATTCTTGGCGGTTTTTTTATTCTTAGTTGTTTCAAATTAGCCCAAATATACGCTCACATATTTTTTAACTCATAACTAGGTGTGATTTCACAAGTAATCCTTTATTTTTAAAATTTGTTACATAAATTTAATTGAAAATTTAATGCACTTTCGTGTTATTTTTAGATGGTGTTATTACTCTTAAATCTTCCAAAAGTCATAACATCCAACTAATACAGACTAATTAATTTAACTTTAAGCAAATCAAAAGTATTCGCTAAAACCTCACTGGAACATTTAATACAATTCTGAGAACATGAATGGAAGCTTTCAGTACCATTAATAAATTTTATTAAAAAAGTAGATTTGAATTTTGTTTTAGAGTAATGAAAATAAGTTCAGTAATTTTAAATATAATTATAATTAAAAAATAATGGTAAATTTTAAATTTGTAATATTCATATGAAGATAATTTCTTTCTAAAACTCCCTTTTTATCTCCTATGCGCATACACATTTTAAGTTAATTTCTCCCAAAAATAGCATCTCTTTCAAAAACCTGACACAATTTTCTATGAAATACAACTAATATAAAATACAATATTTAATAGAAAAATAATTACGTAAATTTAATAAAATTAGTACATTTGAAAATCAATTCGCATACTTACCCGGATCAATAATAAATTCCTTAGTGGCTTTCGAGTGCAACATCTGAAATTCAAACTTCCAGATGATTTTAGGAATTACACCACGTGGAGCTTTGGTGGATAAAACAAAAGTTACAGTGTCTCCAATGTTTCTATTCAGCCAGCAAGTATATGTTTTTTCATTCCATTCGTCACACGGGAAAGCTGGCTTCAAGTGCAGATTTTTTCTGAAAAGATTAAATAGAAAGTGGAAATCTTCAGAAAATTAAGTTTATTAAAGGAAAAAAAATTAAGTTAAAACAAAGTGAAATTACAAACATTCGGTGCTTAATAAAAATTTTCTGTGTGGCAGGAGCAAGACGTAAATGAAAATCGTTTCAAATTTTAAAAGAATTTGGACATCTGCAAGCTAATACTTGGTATAATATGCTACCGAGATAAGATTGTATCTATTGAAGTACCTGTAAATATGTGTGTTTATTGCCTGAAACTTTTTGGAAGACTAGCTACTTCGAAGCATATTATGAGATACCTGTTATAGGATTTAAATCGAATTTCCTTGTTAACGCTATACAATAAGTCTTTGCCGAATGCCGACTTGTGGAATGCGAATTTGCATGTACGTGTTATCTTAATTGTCTCAATTTAACTTATTCAACGCCAGAATGACAAAGCGTCAGCCGCGTTGCGATAGTCCTCTTGACTAGTTTGAAAATCCACTCATTTAAAGAAGTCAACAAAACCTTAGATTTAAAGCTGTTCTCGATAATATTCAGGACATGGTGCTGAAGCCCTCACAACGATGCATTCGTATGTATAGGTTTCATTCCTTCCAACGAACACCACTTTCTTCATCCAACCAATAGATCAAGGAATCATAAAAGTATTCAAAGCCTATTATGTCAGGCATGTTCACATCTTTGCAAATAAAGCAGAACATAGACAATTTGGAAGCGATACAACATAAGACACTGCACAAAAATGACTAAACTGACATGGAATTCATCAACAATGAATTCTTGCTGGCACCAGCTTTGGCCAAAGGTTGTCAACACTTTTAAAGGATTTGCGTCGATGGAAAATGAAGTCAAGGAAAAAGTACAAACTGCAAAGGCAACAGGCGGCGAAGGATTTTCAGATATGGAAAATATAGAAATCAAAGAATTAGTCGAGAATGACGATCATGAAATAACAAAAGAAAAATTTAATCATTTTATAACACATCAGATGGTGAAATCGGCGATAAAGGAAAAAAAAAAAAAAAAAAAAAAAAACCTTAAACGTACAATAAATTAAACGAATTGTTAAAGAAGGCACAGGAACTGTCCGATTTTGGAAATGGAGATTGACCCAAATGAAGAAAGAAGAGGATGTTTTGTGAGAGGTATTGAAAAGCTTTGGCTTCTTTACCACGAAACGCTTAATAGTTGCGTCAGACATTGTCCGAGGAAAAAATCACCAAAATAATTGCATGCACCTACTTATTAGGCAGAAATAGAAATCCTTTCAATTAACATTTGCTTCATTTTCCCTTTTAACTATATTAATATTTATATTTGTATAAATTATATAACTTTCTTAATCTTCTTTACCTAATCCGTTTATTCCAAAGAAAGTTAACTTTGCGGAACGCGCAATGTATTAAGACGTAATCCCTGCTTTCGGTTAGAGTTTGCTGTATTGGCTTTGTTCGTATAATGTTTTGTTTATTCGGTGCATTTTCTTTTAAGTGGTAAAGAATACGCATTTCCTTATAAGGTATTTCTCCCGCCTCTTTAGCCTTCGTGGTGTGGTGGTCTGCCTTCGTGGTGTGGTGGTCTGCACGCTGAACGCGTATTCCAGAGGTCGTGGTTCGATTCCCGGCAAAGCCGTTGCTCATTTTTCATCTTTCCTGCTTCCAAAAAATATGTTATGACTCTACAGTGGCGCCCGAACTAAAAGGGTGGTGGAAAATGATGATTCCCCACATGCAGGATTTGGCGACTGGGTCCCCTAAAACCACTGTCGCCCTTTAAAAGGTGGAGTATATAAGGTATTTCTCCCGCCTTCTTAGCGTGCCTTCGTGGTTTGGTGGTCTTCACACTGGGCGCGTATTCCGTGGTTCGATTCCCGGTGAAGGCGTTGCTCATTTTTCATCTTTCCTGCTTCCAAAAAATACCTAATGTGTCTACATCCTTAGCGTTTTTAACAGCCGTGAGATGCGTAAATTTGTCACGTGAAATGTACAATATGCATTTGACTGGATTGGAAAAATGTTAAAGAGCTGTTGGTTAAGAATTCTTATGCTCAGTGTTATATTTGGTAGGTATTCACACCATAAAATGCACATGTCGAATTTGGATGTACAAGTGAACGTGACCTTAACGTATCAATTTAATATGTGATACAATTTCAAGTAAGGATAAAATCTTACATCTAAGTAAAAATTGTAGTATATAAATCTTGAGTTAGGGTAATTTCTTAACAAATTACCAACAGCTGAATGTGTGGACAATGAATTGTTTGCCTCTGCAACATATTTATCGATATGTATCAAGATTAAAGACTGCAAGTGTTCTATTTCTTTCATAAAAGCTACTAATTATTTATAGCTGACAAAGTATAGGTTGTTGATTGGTAGGAAACTGAACAACCTGCAACATTTTTTAAACGAACAAACGAAACATGTTCTTATCTTGCACAGCAGTTTTGCTCAGAGTCGTTGGTTGTTAGATTATTCCTATGTGATAAGAGCTTGAAAAAATATAATACATGAAAAAAAAAGGGGTCATTCTCATCCCAATCCGTTTTAATCTTTTATTTCACAAGCATATGTAATTATGCTATGTTTTTTAAATGAAGTTTTTACGATTTTGTAATTGATTGCATTACCGTGCTAAACATACTAGTTATAAACTGATCCGATCTAAAACTAGAAAATTATTTAATTGATATAAAGGAGCAAAGAGTTTCGAAAAATTTTTGCAGCTTTTATTTTAATTTGAAGTCTTATTCTTCTCTGTGATGCGTTAGTTTCGGGTTAAATCCAAAAAAAATATTTTTATATTCTGCCTCCTGACCAAAAATTGATTTTACGTTTTACTTTGTGTGTTGTAATTCCGAGAAGAATGCAGGAAATCTATCGATTGCATAAAATTTAAGATTCTAAACCTTTTTTATATTCACATTTAAGCGTGTCTGTTTGTGACAAGTTCAAGCTCTTTCCGTTTCATGCGGTAATTTGAATACGACATTAAAAAAAAAGTAATTAAATAAATTAAAATATGTTTCAGTATCAGATATGGTGTTATTATCTAAAATAGAGTGGCGTAAATTTATAAGAAAACTTTAAAGATTTTGAGAAATTTATTAAAACAATAAAATTCTGTAACTGTGTATGATGATAATAAACGCGTACATAATTTAAGGACTAAATTTAAGTATGAAACAGAAAAATAAGCTTGATAACACACTTGATAACTGAATAATAAGCTTGACACAGTAAAATAAATGTAGATTCAAATTTTCAAATTTAAATACAGTGTGGAAACAATTTTCGCATAAGTATCATAATGCTATTTTGTTATACAATAAAAGTATTTAATATTCGAGGCCATTAAGTTCCGCTTTTCCACTAAAATAGCTTTTTAATCTTTAGGAGTACTTAAAGAAGGTTAATGTGTCCCAAAACTTTTCTATCGTGATTAAACACGAATACCTGTTCTGCTACCCATTTTATTTCTTGAGGTGTCAGAACTTTCGAGAAATTCTCTAACTACTTGGATTGTACAGAAATGATTGACACAACGGCTCACAACGAAACTATTACACTATGCGATTGGAAAACAAGTGAAATAGACACAAGGGGGCGTGAGCTACTCAGAATGCATAGATGGAGCTGGTCGCAAGCGAATGGTATAAGTAGCGCCAGTCCCTTTTTGTGGACAGTACCTAGGGAAACTTTTTGAACTCATAATTGTGCAAATAATAGAAGAATTTATCCCCGAGAAAAATCTGCTTCAAGATCATCAATTTGGGTTCAGAAAACAATTCTCTAGAACACATCAAATTACTAGAATTGTCGAAAGGATAAGGAGAATCCTTCAACAAAAATGAAACAGTCGCTGCTCTGTTTTTAGCTATCGAAAAAGCTTTTGATAAGGTTTGGCATTATGGCCTCCTTATCAAGCTCCTTAATTACCAACTCCCACTGAAAATCATCGCTCTCATCAAAAGCTTCCTAAACAATAGATCTTTTCACGTCAGAATCAAAGATTTCAATTCCCGAATCAAGAAAATTTATAGCGACCTCCCACAAGTATCAAATCTTTCTCCTTTGCTCTACAATATTTTTACAAATGACATCCCCATTATTAAAGACGCATTTATCGCCTGCTACGCAGACGATACTGCAATTATCTGTAATTCTATCAACCCAGATCACGCTACTCAGAAGCTTCAAAACGCAATTAACCAGCTCTCCCCCTGGTACAAAGGGTGGAAAATTAAAATAAACGCTGCTAAATCAACTGTAATAATTTTCAGAAGAACCACTTCTAGACGCACCTATGATGACTTCAAGTTTTACAACAACATCATCCCTAGAAAGTCAACGACAAAATACTTAGGAGTCCTCCTGGACGAAAAACTTACATTTAAAGCTCACCTAATAGAAACAAAGCCCTTAAAGCACTTATGTCTATCTACCCACTCATTGGCAGAAATTCACCTCTGAACATAAATACTAAAAGAATCCTGTATCTGCAGGGTATTAGACCAATTCTACTCTATGCAGCGCCTGCATGGGCAAGCGCTGCAAAAAGCAATCGTGAAATTCTCCAAAAAGTTCAAAACAAAGCTCTATGATTAATAGTAAATGCACCATGGTTCGTAAGAAATTCTACTCTGCACAGAGACCTCAAATTCAACCCTATAAACTCCGAAATACTCATTCATTCTCATATTTTTTTCCAAAATCTAGACAACAGCAATTATGATGTATTAAAGAGAATTGGAAAGTATGACTACACAGTATCACAGCCTTTTAAAAGGCCTAGGACCATACACCATAATAACAATTGGCAGAAATAGCAAACAAGAGCTCCGTAGCCGAGCGATAAAACACCCTTCGCTGCTTATAGCATTCAGGGTTCGATCCTCAGCAGAACGTTGAACCGCCAAGGACTTGTATATATTTTAAATTTCATTTTTTCCCATATAATCAAGAAAATTTATCAATTTATTATTTATGAAACAACTTTAACCAAGAAAAAATTGAAAAGTTTTGTACAGAATTTTTTACAAAAATTTAAACTCCGTGCTGAAATGTGGTTTACGGAAAGAATTAAATCAAAGTATTGTATATAATATGCAAATGTTCCTAAAAGGACTGTATAAAGAATATGTACATAAAAATGCAAAATGTAAATTATACATATGTCTATTCACCGTATTTACTCAAGAATTCTTGTAAAGAAAATGTACTATAATCCTCTTACTGCAAAAATGTTTTACAAACCCTTGAGAAAAGATAAAATATTTTCTTAGCACTTATCCAAGAAATCTCGAAATTTTATCATGCAAAAATGTAAAGAACACACAATTGCAAGCTCTCCAAAAATGCTTACACCAGCGCTCAAAACTTTCCATCAAACAAAAACAGCACTTCATTCCAAGCAGCTACTTAGTACAGTCAAATTTTCTCGAAATGTCCCTCTCCTGATCACTCAGGTCTTCTAAATAAGATGAATTCTCCGTTAAGGAAACAAAAATGGATTGGTAAAGGCCCTCACGGGTCGTATACCTCTAATACAAGTGATGGTCTATGGTCTATATTGTGGACAGCAATGATGGAAGGTGATTATCACAGTCAGCGTTGGACTGCGTGGTTCCTACGGAAGAAAGAGATACAGGGTAGTGAGATCCATCGTAGCATGGAGTTGGTGTGCGGGAACAAAGCACCCTCAATGTTGTTTGGCCAAGTTCAGCAGTGGAGTGGAGACTGCAGCCAAAGGTATCAGCGCGGGACGACTAGCAACATGGCATGCAGCGGCAAATGTGGCAGTCATGTCGGATTTGATCACGACGAACAGGCGCATAACGTTCAACAAGATGCACGAAGAGACAGGACTTGCGCAAGGAACATTGCGGGCGATTGTGCATGATGATTTGGAGATGACAAATGTGTGTGCAAAGTGAGTGGACTTCGGACCTCGGACTAAGCTTTGTTTGACAACATGAAGGACGTAGTCAGGGGCCAACATGTTGAATCGTCTGCTGAATTGCATGCAATTGTCCATAGATGGTGCACCATCACCCCAACAGACTGGTTTACCAAAGCCCTTCGGGATCTCCCAGCCAGATGGAAGAAGTGTATTGCCACGGGCAGGGGTTATTTCTAACTGATGTGCTATAAGGTTTTTGTTAATAAATTATATTCCGCTCTGTGGCAGCATTTGTGTCATTCATTTCTGTAAGACCTAAATATATAATGAACTGTTTGCATTATTATGCACGAAATGAAGTCAAAGCCAAATGTACTTCCTAAGAGCTATATATAGGAGATCCAGAGTTTCATCCGATATCGTTTGCAGGTATTGAGCTTTTTCGTGAACAAGCGCAAGCATTTTTATTTAACATAACGGTGTTCCATAACAAGTTAACTCTATGGGCATAACGATTCCAATTCCTAATATTAGAAGAAAGTGTCAAGTTCTTGGCTTCCTCCCGATGTTAACAGGGTGAAATTAAATGTTTAACATCCATCTTTACTTATATTAAATATTCCGCAAGAGTAATGGCCTTCAAGCTCTAAACTCAAAATTGAGTTCTTTTCGGGTGTGAGGTTTAAGACATAAAAACAATAAATATTTTTCAATAAAGGCTTTTCATCTGAAATCTTCAGCATGGTTTTCTTGATGCAGGAAGTTCACAACTGATCCTGGAATATGAGTTCCAGTGGCAATTAAAAAAAACTTCACAAACAGCTGTTAGGTAGCCGACTCCTTGTGTTGACTTTACAAACACCAATTACTGTGATCTATCATTTTGAAACATTACCTGTGTATTATCATTACCTAGTTCTTCAGAGAAATGCTCTAGCGTCTTTAAATTCGTTGCAGAGTTTTTTGGAGCCATTCATTCAAATATTTTGCCATCTTAGTTTCCGATTGCACTGACTTTTCAAAGGAATTTGTCTAGCTGATGGCTTGCAGCCTTAAATATTTGTCCGAATTATGTTTAAAAAACCCAAAACTAATTTCTAATCGATCTGTTGAGAAATTAAATCGCGAAATTTGTGAAATAATACAACATGCTAAAACATTAGAGACACAGTTAGGTTATGAAATATTTTAATTTATTTATCTGAAAATTTTGATAAAAGGTGATTAGATTTTCTAATTACTTTTACATGCGGCTTTCTTCTTCAAGAAATAGATTGATTCTGTCTTGTAGTTTTCCACAGATTGTTAAATCTGCATACATTATGAAAACGTTGAAGATCTTATATGTAATGAAGAAGTAGAAACTTGCAAATGCGGTCGGATGATTAATATTGCCTTTAATAAAGACTGACAAACATTTTCAAATAATTTAGTGCGATACACGCACCTATTCTATTCTACGGTTGAGCTTTTACATTTTTGAAAAGAGCAGGCTACCGCTGGTCGGTAGAAGCGAAGACGAAAAGCAGATGTGAAGTATGTAATACGGCAGAGCCTGCTGAAAAGGAAGAATTATGATTTTCAAGTTTGACTTTCATTTCCGAATACGCTACGTCATCATCGTTATGTAAAAGATGGAAAGGGAAAATGAAAAAAATTAAATTAGAAATTTCAGAAACTACTGCAAATTAAAATTAGAATTTTGATTCAGTTCACACAAACACACACATATGTATATTATATGTGATATATGTATATGTAATAAAAACAAATTTCAAACTACTGATATATGAACACTGAGACGTTGAACCGTAGTAACGTTGTTAGGCTTAGATCGCAGGAGTTATACTGAAGAGGAAGAATTTTGATTAGAATGCTAATCCATAATAAATAAGAAACTTGGCAGTCGAGGCAGAATCAATTCCATTTTTATTTAAATTCACATTTATGCCCACAGTTTACTTAACATTCTAATCGTGCCTATTCAGGAGCATTTACATTTTTGATATTATTGCGATACAAAGCGAGCACAGCAAAACTGCATCCAAGCAGCACTCAGAGAGAAGCTAAAGTGCGCATTTGTCCAATATGGTAGCTCATCAAAGAGGAAGGTTTGGGTTTAGGTAGAAAGGTTTCAGTTCTCAAAATTTGAGTTCAAATTCCCAGTTAGCTACGTCATAGGCGTTACGCAATGTGGATTGATCTAGAAATGACGCAGTCGAGAAATGTTATTAATTTTTTTTGGAATAAAGAGGACATATCCAAATTAAAAAAGAGGAATTAAAAGGCTATTGTTAAATTACATTATGAACCTGATTTACATATTTTTATCTTAAATATTTATTTATGCATTATATATAAAACTAAACTAAAAGAGTAAATAAGAAAAGAACTTAAAAACATAAATGCTCTTTGATGGCAATAATCTAGAGAGCTTAAAGGTAACAATTGCTCATAAGACTATGAATTTAAATTTAATGTATAACTTTTTATTTATGATTTATCTCCTAGGTATTCCTAGGATTTTAATTGCCAATAATCCTTATTATTAACTTTACTTGTCAATAGTCCTTTTTCTTCCCCATTTTAATTTGGCTACCTTCAAACAAAAATATCAAGTCTATAAATGTCACTGCTACTGACGAGCAACCCTTTCTTCCTGCCTCGCCTAGCTCCTTACTGCTGCGTTTTGTCCTATATCTACATTTTGAACGGTAATTGGACAAGAGCTAACCACTTTGCAGGGCTAGTAAGATGTTATAGCTTAATTTTCCAGATGATGCATTTTAGATTCCAAGAAGGGGACGTACCTAAATTAAAATGAGGAATAAAAAGGACTGTTGACGAGCTAAAGTAATTAATTTTGAGTTGCATGTTTTTATATCTTACATATTTACATATTGTGGATCAACAATTTCCATTTACTTACGCTATAAACTTACCCTTGCTGAATATTTTTAAAATTATCTTCTAAGCCAAATTCTTCGGTATTTTCGCATGGTTTACAACGCGTGGATGTTTCAGGTTTCTCATCTAGCAAAGTGTCCCTTTGCTTTTCAGTGCTAAAAAACTTTCGTTTCTGTGAATTTTTATTCGGAGAACTCTTTAGCCTTGCAGTCTGAGCTCGGTTTCGTCTGCTCTCTATTTCTTGAAAATCCTGAGTTATTGCATCATTGTGATATTCTGGTTGTGATGCCATACTTTGCGTCTGAGTATACACATCATCTGATTTTGCAGTGTTGTCTTTGACGTTCAGATTTATCCATCTCTTCTTTTGATAATATCCGGACACTAGATCATTTGAGAATGCTATACGGCGGCAATCTACTGTCAAGTGAGAGATGGCAATGAAGAAAAATATTAACTTCTGTAAAATAAATAAAAATAATAAATTAAGATTTAGAAAGAGCAAGCGTTCTTAGAAATTCTTAATAATTTTTGCACATAATGATTACTATTATTATTAGCATTTTATTTGCAAAGATGCATAAGTTTTCTCGACTTTCTCTATCTGTTGACAAAAAGAGATCGAAATTTGAGCTTCATTTTCTTCGAAAATAATGACTTTGCCCAGAAGTTCACTGATTGCACATTCCTACAAGTACTAGAATGCGACCCAGAAATCGTTTTGCATAAGTGAGTTCATAACCTCTTGCAATTCGCGCAGGATCTCGACAGCGATATAAAATGGTGACCCTTAACAGGCATCTTAGTTTTAGGAAAAGGAAGGAGTATACAGGATCTAAATCTGACGAACAGAACCTGTGCGGCAAAAGTAACTTCTTATTATTAAGCAGAAACTCACGAAGGAGTAAACTCAGCGACAAGGTGCAGTGTCATCTTGGAGAATCCAAACTTTCGTGCGATGGAAATTCGGTCACTTTTGCCGAATGTTATCCTTCGAATGCCACACAACTTCAGTAAAACTTTCGGTTTACGGTCCGAGGAGACGAATCTAGGATGAGGGTGCAGCGGATGTCGAAAAACACGGGATGAGCACGATCTTCGTTGGATTGCGACTTTTCTTCTTCCAGTCTCGGCGAAGATAGACTCTTCCATTGCTACAACTGCCGTTTAGTCTCAGAGCCATCCAATCAGACCCAAGACTCGTCATAATCCTAGACGTGATGGATGATTCTGGACGTGATGGTGATAATCCTGGACGTGAAGGATGGATTATTCGTCTCATGTTTACAAAGATCTTGACACATTATGATGCGATGTCCATTCTGGTTAGGGATCAGCAGACTGGAGACAAACTTAGCAACACCAAGCGGCATCTTCAGCTTTGACGCTCGGATTGTCCCGTTTGACACATCAACAGCGTCCCAAATGTAGTTTAACGTTCTTCGAAGATCTGTATGTACAAGTTCGCCATTTCTTTCCACAGTTTGGAATCTTTAATTTGATTACATTTTCCAGATTGCTCGTCGTCTTCAAGGTATTTTCTTCAGCTATGAGGTATAATATTTTTACTAATAGTTATTTTAATTTGTTAGCCTTTTCTTTCTTTTCTGATTTCCCTCGCATTTCCTTGCCAGGATGTAAATGAGTTAGGGTGAACGAGAGTGTATTTAAACCGAAGTAGCAAAAAGATTAGTCAGAGCGTGTTTTTGACGCACGTTTTTAGATTTACCGGTTGTTTGAATTTTGAATCTCGGCTTTGCATTTTTGTCGCCGAAGTTAATATAACTCCTGTGTAGGTATCCGAGTTAACTAGCAAGTTTAAATTAAACTGTGTAGTCTTGAGCTATTAGATTACCTTTTAATTTAGTTTGTTACTGTTATCTTTAAGTTCCTCACCACAAGAGGCTGGTGAAATTGTAAGCACGTAAGTCCGTGCCGTTGAATTCAATAAAAGGAACTTTTATACCCTTTCCCTATCGTATTCATCTTCTACTTTCATCGATAAGTCGCTACCCAGAGTTTCACGTAAGTATAGTAGCAGTGTACGTTAGCAAAGAACATTAGATCTTACAAAGCTTTCGAAGTGTCTGTGACACTGAACTCATTGCCTCATCGCCATAAGCATACCGAAGCATAACCAGTATTTCCACGGCTTATTTGCTTAATTTAAGGCAAAATTTAAGGTTGGATTATTGTTCCACTTTTCTGTGTTTGACGTACTTGCAAACTACCACGCACATATACTTGTAAGGATCCTAAGTTTTATTAACGTTTATTTTATTTTAAATCTTTACTATCACTTCTTATTTTCTACTTCCGGCCAGAATTAAAAGCTTTAACTTATTTATGGAAATTTGTCTTGCTAACGCCAAGTACTTAAGTTGTGGCTTTTTGCCAAGCAAGAGAGAGGAAGGAGTTTTTAGAAGCAGGCCGCTGGCCATAGTAGTTTTACTCGTTTGCTGGTTGCCTTCAAGGCCAGAGGTTTAATCCTCTTGATAATTTTAAACGTATCGTAGTTTTAGCAGCTCTCTGTACTACATACGGCTTTTTGTTAATTAACGGCCAATCTTAAAGTAGGCACTTGTATATTAATCCAAAGTTGGTGAAATTGTAAGCACGTAAGTCCGTGCCGTTGAATTCAATAAAAGGATCTTTTATACCCTTTCCCTATCGTATTCATCTTCTACTTTCATCGATAAGTCGCTACCCAGAGTTTCACGTAAGTATAGTAGCAGTGTACGTTAGCAAAGAACATTAGATCTTACAAAGCTTTCGAAGTGTCTGTGACACTGAACTCATTGCCTCATCGCTCCTGTAGTATCCGATACCGAGTAATACCTAGTATATTTTTTTTTATAGTTCTAGTTAATATTTTATATATATTACTAGTAATATTAGTTCTAATATTTTTATATTCTTACGTTCAGACCACAAGTGGTTGGTCTCTGTATTCCGAAGTACGGAAATCTTGTAAAGATAGAAAAATAAAGGGTTTGTATACCCTTCCTGTGTATCCTGTCTACTTCCACAATTATTGAACATAGCTTTAGTAAGCTCTCTGTTCCGAGTCAGGTCCAGTTCATGTTCCCGAAGCAAGTAAAGAGGAAACCAGTCCTGATAGTGGCGCCCAACGAAGAAGAATAACCATGGCCGAGTTTCAAGAAGAACCTGTGGCTGCCTGCAGAAGCGGCTCAGAATCCCAGAAATGCCAGCTGCCGCCCTGGAAGGATTTGGTTACATCGTCCAGACCATGCGCGCTTCGATGAAACCAGAAGCAACATTTAATGGAAACTCACCGGTAACCAGTTTTTTGGAAAAATTGGATGACCACTTCATGCTCTACCCCGTGCACGAGTTTCAAAAAGTTACCTTAGCTACCAGCGCTTTGAGGGGCCAAGCGCTTAATTGGTTCAAATGTATAGGCAGAAGTCTCTTGGGTCAAGCAGGAAGTCCCACCTATACTTACGAAAATTTCAAGACTGCCCTAGTAAAAGCCTTCCCTGTCGTAAGGGATCGTGCGAAATTAGAAACGGAACTTTTCAGCATATATCAGCAAAGAATCGAAAATCTCTCAAGCTTTATTTTAAGAAAAATTCACGTCTTTCAAACTCTTGTATGGAAACCGTCCGGATCCTGAGATAATTCAAGTGATTTTGCCGAGGTTACTTCCCCAAGTGCAAGACTTTATTGAATTAAGGAATCCGACTACACTGGAAAAGTTATTTGAGCTAGCAATCCAGTTTGAAAGTAGAAGAACGGCGGACATTGAAAGAAGACGCCAATATCAACAACGAAACCAATTTGGTGCGCCAAGACCACAGCAAACTCAAGCACACGGCTACGGAAGCAAAGCGAATCAGTGGGCAAGGAAACCCGAGCATTCCAAAAACAAGCCGGCGAACGTCGACAGTTCAATAGCAATCCAGGAAAAAAAGTCTCAAGGCCAGTGGAAAAAGAAGGAAAGCATGGAAAGGAAAAAAAAATTTAAACTAAAACGGATTTCTGCTGACGGGAGGGTGCGGAAATCCGAAGGCCAAGAAAAACCCTCTTCCTTCAAGTTAAATACAGTAATGGTGAAAAATTTGACTCTTCCGAAGATTGAAGTCTTGGTGAATAATATCCCAGCCACCGCACTCCTGGATACAGGCGCGCAGTGTTCCTGTGTGGCAGAAGATTTTTTTAGGAAGTATTTTCGTAAATACCGCATATATAATTCGGATAATACGACAGTGTTAGCTGCGCAAGGAGAAAGATGTAAGTGCATAGGTAAATTACCTTATATATCCGTATCAAGGACGAACAAGTAAAGGTTATGTTTTTATAGTAAAGAATCTGCAAGCACATATAATCTTAGGGATAGATTTTCTTTCAGAGGCACAAGCAACGCTGGATTTTAATGAAGCGTCCCTTAAGCTGACGATGAAACCAGTTCGAGAAAAAAAAGCTGAACCGCCGATGTTAAACCTTGACCACCTGCCTAATGAAGAGCAACAAAGAATCCGACAAGTGGTAAGTGAATTTGCTTCGTTATTTAGTGATATTCCAGGATTTACTCAGGTTACTAACCATAGTATTCGACACCGGAGATTCACTGCCAGTTCGCCACAAACCATATGATAAGAATAAGGAAAAAATTATAGAATGGCACATTCGAGATATGCTACGTAAAAAGATCATAACGCCCATCTCAAGTAGTTATGCTAGCCCGTGGTTGTTTATGTAAGAAAAATAATGACTATCCATTAACACATCCAAAAAGGTGGCGATTCGCAATTGACTACCGTAAATTAAACTCCATAACTAAATATCCGGTATATCCGTTACCTATTATTGAAGAAATTTTAAGGAACATAACTTCTACCAAATATATGACGACTTTAGACTTAACGACTGGTTATTTTCAAATAGGGGTTAAACCCTGAAGACGTGCCTAAGACTGCTTTTATAACCAAGTCTGGCACTTATGCATTTTGCGTATGCCGTTTGGCCTTTCAGGGGCACCGGCAACATTTCAGCGATGTATGGACATTGTGTTAAGGCCTGTTCTTGGAAAGTCCACATTTATCTATTTAGACGATATCATTATTACTAGTGATAATCTGGACCAACATGTACAGGATTTAAGACAGGTGTTTTCATTATTAAATGAGGCCGGTCTAAAAGTTAATGTCGAAAAGTGCAAATTTGCAGCCCCTGAATTAAAATATTTAGGTTACAAAATATCTCAGAAAGGAATCGAGACAGACGAATCAAAAATAATCGCTGTACAAAAGTATCCGCCGCCAAATACGGCGAAGAAGCTCTCTTCTTTTCTAGGACTTTGTTCATATTATAGGTCCTTTATAAAAGATTTTGCAGCTATTGCTGAACCATTGTTAAAATTAAAAAGGAAAAAGGCAAGATTCTCGTGGACGGCCGAAGCCAATAGTGCTTTCGAAAAATTAAAAGCAAGCATTAACGCAAGCCCCTGTTTTGAAATTTCCTGAAAAGGATGAGAATTTAGAAATTTCAGCGGATGCTTCGGATTATGCGGTAGGAGCGGTACTTTCGCAAAATCAGCAGCCCGTGGCATTTTTTAGTAGCCGAACTTTAAATCAAACACAAAGAAATTATTCCGCGACCGAGAGAGAGGCACTTGCAGTTCTGTTAGCAGTGCAAAAGTTCCGAGTCTATTTTGGAAAGGGCGCCAATAACAGTGTATTCTGATCATGCGGCGGTAACTAGATTGTACTCAGGGAAAAACTTATCCCCAAGGTTAATAAGATGGGCACTCAAGCTACAAGAATATAATCTGGTAATCAAGCACACCCCCGGAAAGGAAAAAATATCGTAGCAGATGCCCTATCCAGAATTAAAATAGATGAAGAAGGTAATACTGTAAAGGTGGCAATGCTCACAGCATGTACAATAAATTCCCGAGAAACTGTAATAACCGAACTGGGTAAGGATCCTGAGTTTAAAAACATTTATGAGTATTTAAAGGATCCTGAAAATTTTAGCCACCAAGATATTGTGGCGATAAGAAATAGGGCGGCCCATTACGAACTAATAGATGGTCTATTATTTTATACAAAAACTACGAATTCCAACAACGAATTTCGACCTGTTATCCCAGCTAGTCTTAGATTAAATATCCTGCAAGAGCTCCATGACAGCCCTTTAGCTTCTCATGCTGGTATTCGAAAAACCTATCCAACGCGTACGCGAAGCAGTCTATTTTCCTGAACTGCAAAAGTTAACAAGGGCGTATGTCCAGTCCTGCCCAACATGTCAAGCAGTTAA